GGGGGGGGGGGGGGCAGCCCCCCGTAGCTCTCATCCCTTTCGGTCCGGGAGAGCCTCAGCAGGGCCACGTCCCTCAGCACCGGCTGCCCCACAGCCCGCCCAGCACTGGTGCATGCAGCAGGTGCTGCCGACGCAAACAGGTTACTTGTTTAGTTGAAAGCCCCAGTAGGCAGGAGCCTGTCAGACACTGTTTGCGACTGCAAGTGGTGTGTCTGCTACAGGCCACTGCCTCGGTAACCAGTCCCGCTAAGGGTTACAGAACAGAAGGTGATAGATGGACCAGTCCCCTCCAGCTTGTCACATCAAAGGCTGCCAAGCCCACTCTCAGCATGCAGGCGTCTTGCAGATAGCAGCACGTTGGCTCCTGTGACTATTTCAGCCAGCTCCAATCAAAACTCTGAAAGAAGAAGCAAGGAAACAACTGAATTGCAGGAAACAACTACTGAATGTAACATTTCCAAGGTGGTGACCAAAGGACACTCAGTATCCAGCATCTCTCTCTTCACAAAGAATCACACTGATCTAACAGCTGAAAAGTAAGCTCACAATTTCACAATTGTTTGTCCCCAATACAAAACCCCCCATGCTTATCACGGTGCTCAGACAAGTCACAGACTGTACTCACTTTGGAAATGAAAAACCTTCTGCCAGGGTTCCTAGTGCACTATGGGATACACTGGTAGTGCAAGAACATAAATAAAAAAGAAAGGCAGGCTCCATGTATGCAAGAAAAGAGAAAAGGTTCTTATTCTTTTTTCCCCCCTCTGTTTTTTCCCAAGTGAATAAAAGAGGGCAAATTCCATTTTCTCCTGCTTTCCTGTTGCCTAACTTCTGTCTCCTGATGGAAGAAAAAGGGGGAAAAATCCAAACATAACAAAATGGGAGCTGATCTGCAGAGGACAATTCCACAACAATGAATAATCTTTCTAGACTAAAACCTGACAGAGACAGATGCTGCACCCTGGAATGAGAAACAGGGTGACAGAGACATGGACAATGAACATGGAAGAAGCCACTCATACGTCTTCTAGCTTGTCTCCAGCCATAGCAAGAAGACAAAATTGTGTTATGCAGCTGATACCAACCCTGTCAAAACAGAACAAAGACAAACAAAGCATTCATGGATGAAGACCAGGATATGAATAGTTAAGGCTGTCTTCCCCACTAATGTTATTACTTTACCTTAAATTAGCTAATTTCATTTCCCCATTCATATTGCTCAATCTATTGCTATTGCAGCAACATCTGCAACTCCCACAAGTTAAGTTTTCCTTTCATCATCCCAAGTAACTTTGTAAACTCTCACTTCCCTGTTTACCATTATTCATAAACATTAGAACATTAAAATGTTTATGAATTAAAATGTTTATGAGTAAGAGCTTCATTTCATCAACCACCTCCATTTCCCCAACCCTCTGTTCCTTATTTCAGCAGTTATAACTGGTAAACAGCTTCAACATTTTTATCCCATGAGAATGGGAGTTATCACTAAGGAGACCTTTAAGAAACTTCTTGAAAATCCAAGTTACAGCCTATCAGTGGATCTTTGACTTCTTTACAGGACTCCAATACATCTGTGAGACAATTTCAGGCCAACAGAGGCTGTATTGACTCTTCTCCATTACAAACAGGTCAATCCGCATGCCCAACCATCCCTTTCTCATTATATTTATACAGATGCTTCTACAAAACAGCATCTAAAATCAGCTGAGAAACTCTTTTCTAAAAGATTTGTATTCTGTGGTGCTCTTCATTCTACTGGTAACCAGTCTCTTCTGAGCAGTGACGCATTAGCCCTCAATTAGCAGTTCAGGAACAGAGTTTCAGATTGTGTCAAAACATCTGGGTGATCATTATTTACTTTTGTCTTTTCTTGGTATTTCAAATACTAGTTTCTGCAAAGACCCTTCTCTGGACTCTGTGAAGCCTGACTTCTGCCATAAGGAGAGCTTCAGTTAACAATCAGGAAAGGAATATCCTGCCCACTCCAGTGCAGGGATGCAAACCATGACACTCCAGCTGAGAACGCAACCAGCACCGAGAGTGAGCTCTACCGGTCAGGGTCCCACAGAACAACCCACTCCATCACACAGAGCACTCAGCTCTGTGTCTCATTAAATGACAACTTCCATAAGGACCGGCATGTTAGTGGAGTCCAGGAGGGATGACAGACATCACACGCCAGCCACAGCAATTCACATCATCACAAGTGACCCTATTTAAGGAGTTCTCCACTCCTCCAGAGGACCCTGCTGTGTCTTTTAAAAAAGCAGGTCCCTCAGAGGTTCATCTACAGACTTACCATCATGCTGTTGTTCTGCTCCTGTCTTGCCTCCTGCAAAAGACTGCTAAAGAGTTCGAGGTAATTCAGATTCTCTTCTATCACATGGACAAAATTTTCCCTGCAGGGAAGGGAAGACATAAAACGACAGATTTAAACCACAGAGTAACACCAACATCAAAAGGCTCTGTACTTGGGGGGGGGAAAAAAAAACAACACAACAAACCACAACAAAGAACACCCCCCCCCCAAAAAAAAAATTATTTATAGGAGTTCTCTGTAACTGTAGGAGCTATCTTGCAGGGCACAAAACCATGCCTTGAGGCAGCATCCTACAGATTCCCACCCTGGAAGTGTGGATTTGCACTCCTTCCCTACAGAGGAACTGTACAAACCACAGTAAAACTCAGCCTTAAAACAACCAAAGAATTGAGCCTGAAATCACTTCACTTCTTGAGTCTCTGTACAGTGCCTCGTACAGTGAAGTTATGGTTCAAAGAAGAGCTCTAATGTGAACCAAAGGCACCTTGCTCAGGAAAGCACCTATTAAAGGGTGATCACCCTACATTACTCAGAGGCACAAACTGCCCCACAGCAGCAGACAGAAAAGAGGAAACGAAAAACGTTGTTTAGGTTTCAGAAAAATCAAATGACTTCCAGCAAAAGTCTGTTCAGAGTATGTGTATCTTCAGAATCTAGTTATTTCCCTGACCACCCAAGAAGAAAGAAGCGGCCAAATGGTTTGATGCTGATGTTCACAACTCCTGCCCCAGCCCCCCCAATGGATCAAGGGCTGAGCAGTCTCTGAAGGGCACCTGCCCTTCTGTTATGCTGAATGGAAGTAAAATTTCTGATGAAGTGAAAAGGAAAACCTGACAACTCTCTTAACTCAGCTAGGACTGGCTGAGAGGGGCCTTAATAACAAAATCCAACCCCAAGACAGAATAACATGACATGCAAGAATAGCACAGTGCTTTAGCCGAGAGCGGTATGTAGATCTTGCTCAGGACCAGAGAGTCGAGGTTTCTGAATAAAGAGTTCAACATAATTCCTGTGGTTTTTAGAGCATTAGTAACATATGAGCTACGTAAACCTTGTTTTGGTAGGATAAAGCACCCAACAGAAATATCAGAAGTATAAAAAAAACACTAGATGGATTGCTTTGTACTGACTCTGACTTCAGCCCTCCATTCGAATTAAGACTTTTTAAAATCAGTAAGAAGCACTCAATATGGCCTGATTTATCTGGGACTTGCACCAGAACCTGGGCACAAAAAGAAACTGCATTTTGGTTCAAAATCTCATTGCTGAATTTTGCTGTGGTAAACTCCATTCAGGAGCTGAACAATGTTGCCTTCAGAGACAGTCTCACATGCCAAAACTCTCCCTGTCCAGCACATCCAAAACTCACCACAGGGGACTTGGCGAAGACATGCCCCTTGGGCCCTCTCAGAACTGGAGAGCCCAGTGCCAGAGGACAGGATTTTAGAGTGTGTGCATACAAAATGGCTACACTGACTTCTCCACAGCGACCTCATTTCCCAACAGCTCTTACCCATCTTCGGGAGTTTCCACAGATGACAGAGGGTGAGGTACGTTCCCTGAGGAGCTCTGTGGGAGCCACAGAGGGGCTGCTGGAGTTGAGGCTGTCCCTTCCAGGCTGGGGCTTACCAGTGATCGAGAAGAGCTCTGAGTCTAGAAAAAAGAAATTAATCTGCCGTGATGGACAAAGGACGAATTTAGTCAGGATTAACAATTTTGTGTGCAAGAGTTGCGATTACACAGGAGCACTGTTTGTAACATATACAGCCAGTGTAGGCCATGCCTGTGGCTGGCAAGTCAGCTGTCCTGGTTCAGTTAGGATAGGGTTAAGTTTCCCCAGCAGTGGGGAGGGAGCTCTAGCTGCGTAATTCTATACCATGCTGACATCAGGTCCTGGCGCCCAGGTGCCCAAGCAAGGGAAGGCTTTTGTTCAGGTCAGTACCCTCACTGCTGTATCTTTGTGGTGCATCTCTTGTTCTGTTCATTGTTATTACTGTTCATTTGTTGTTGTTCACTGTTGTATTGAATTTTTCCTCATCTCAACCCTGGGGTTTGTATCTCACTCCCTGCCTCATCTGGTTAGAGGGTGAGGGAGGGTCAACAGCAACGTGGTCTCAGGTACAGCAGGGCCTAAACCACCACATCAGCTGACAACACTCCACAGTTCTGCAAATCGCTGGTACTAAAATGACATGTCTTCTACACTGAAGAATCAGGAGGTGGTGTCATGTCCTAAACTGTGAGTCCTGAGCAGCAGGCAATTCTCCTGACAGGGGAGAGACATGAATGTTTCCTATGCTGCCCCTGAATGTGGGCATGTGGAAATCAGATCGCTTCAGCTGTATAGTCACTATAATTGATGCAAATAAAGTAATGTAATCTTAAAAAACCTTAAATCAACCAGGAAAAGCAACTACTTCCCTTTTGCAGCACTAAAATCATGATAGGTTTAATATATCAGGCTCAAGTTCACCTATCCCACTGTATGGTCTCCAACAGCAGCCAACAGTAAATGTTTAGGGAATGTAAGAACAAGGCACAAGGCATGGCATTGTCTACCATACTGCAGCCACCTCCGATGGTTTACCAGGACCAAGGACTCCTCTACTGGGCTTCTTCCCCATGAATTTGTCTACCCACTTTCTAAACTTGTGTCAGCTTTCAGCTGCTCTTCTCTACAGTAAAATCAGCCACTGTGTGGAAATTATCTGGTTTTGGTCTCTTCAGAGTTTCATTTGACATCCCCTGCCTCTTGCACTGTAAGGAAAAGCAAACAAATAGTCCAAAATTTACTTACACAAGCAATTTTCAACAAATGCCATATCTCTCTTTGTCTCTTGCCCTGCATCTGCATCACTGAGTTGTCAGCTTCCTTGATGTTATTTAGAGCCACTTCAATCTTTGGAAGTAAGTCAATGATCTTCTGCTTACAGCCCAATAGCTTGCTATAATAAAAACCAAACACAAAATTATTTTCCAGCTTGTGCAGCATTATGTTCTGGCAAAAGCAAAAACCTCACCTTGGCTTCAAGAACAACTCTGTGAGGACACCCCTTTCTCGTAGCACAGCACTGACAGCTGCAGGTACAAAACCTGCAATCCCTGGACTTTTCCAAGTCCAGATAAGAATCAAACCAGCAAGCAGATGGCACTACTAATAATACCCACAATTTAAGCTGCTCTTATTTGAAATGTAAAACATGATTTTGATGACAATGGACAGCACATCAACTCAACCAGGGTGTTTTACTAATCTTCTCTGGTCTGTGTTCCTTTCTGTAGGCAGACCAGAGCTAACAATTTTCTTTATGGAATCTACTAAGTATAAGACACACATGAAAATAAAACTAAATCATGCTTTACTGACTACTGAGATCAGCATAATGACATTTTTTTCTGAGCTACTTGAAGAATTAATGAATTAATGAACAAATTACTGTGGTATCTTCTCAGCTGTTACACTATTTCTTTTTTTTCTTAAGATTTTAATCCCAACCTAAACATTGTCAGAAACTGTCTTATTTTAAAGTGAACTCTTGGATGCTAACAGTAGAAGCCACAGCATTCTCCTCCCCTTCCCTATTAACTATACACATTAGCTATATGTTTTAAAAAAGTGGAAATTCAACACAGACACAAAGGATATTGCTTTGAGAAGCATATACCTGTGGATGGAACTTCTGGGCTCTGATGCTCATGGATTTCCCTCTCCTTTCCTGATACAAAGCTACAAACGCTGCAAGTTGCATTTGTTTGGTGTTTTTTCCTACATAAAGTACCTGAGATGGCCAAACAGCTCCTTGAGAACTCGGTCTTGGCTCTGTACTGTCTGCACAATGATCTTCACCATGTCCGTGCTGTCACTGTAGGCATGATCTGGAAGGGCCATCAAACACATTAGTAAAATGCTCTTCAGCAAGAACCACTCTGGACACAAAACACCCAGAGTCCAGGTAAGATCTGACTTAACAAGTGCAGCCAAACAAACGGAAACATAATGAGAATCTGTGACAATCTCTCATTAGGCACAGCTTTTCCTCCATGCCTCTTCTCTCTGCAGTACTGTATACAATTCCAGCCACTCATGCTGTCTAGACACTGGCTTCAGTAAGGGCTGCAGGTAGCTGCTGAATGCACGAGCATCTAAATCTTTCTGCTCATCAGTTACTATGTTCATAACTTAATAAATCCCAAACATGGGGCTCTATCCAATACAACTAAGAGAGAGGAAGAGATGGAGAAAAGAGACTGCTCTTGGGTTGGGGCAGCGACAGAGAAACAGTAGTTCTTCCCATGTCTGTGGAGAGTAAAGCTGTAGTACTGGGGGCAGGAGGAAAAGTAGAGAATGCCAGAAGGCAGACATGTTCAGGGTAGATGCTCCAAGACTGAAACCAAAAGACAAAAACATAACTGAGGAACAGGACTAGAGGATTTCAGAGGGCTCTAGACTCAGTAAAAAGACAATCATCTTAAGATATGCCCTTGAGTCTGGTTAACTTTAATACAATAATTTGCCTTTTGATAAACAGTATTTTTTTGGTTTGAGTTCAGAAAAATTAGTCATGGGGTACAAGTATGAAACAGTCTTCGAACCATCTGCTTCCATACCTGGAGGTCTTGTTTTTAATTGCTTGTACAGGTCTATGGCTCTCTGTTCCCTTCAAAAAGAAGAAAATGTTTCATACATGTATCAACAAGCAGGTGACAAGAAAAAAAGCATTGCAATTAAGTTAGGCCTTACTGAACCTCATGCACTGGAACTGTCACCTTCTTCTACAGGTAGTATACAACATTTGGAACACAGGGATGACCTTTCTGTGATGGAATCCAACTCTTCCCTAAAAGCTGTCTCTCTTTTCCTCTGATTATGCATTTTCTTCTCAGCTAATCATACCAACTGGAGGTTATTTTCAGTTTCAAATTCTCACATGGCTCAGATCTATTTTCTTTCTGTGATATCCTTAATTATGAAACTCCATTTTTATAACTATAGGTACATCTGTGCAACTGCCTGATAAATTCTTGTTCCTGTTCTGCATTTTCTTGCCTGAATTTTAGTGATATTCTGCAAATGGAGAGACAGCTGCATTGCTATCAAGAGGGCAGTGTTTCTCTTCTTCCCATTAAATAAATGTTACTACTTTCAAATATTTCAAAAGCAGGCAAATACTGAGGCTTCTACCCTTGAGCAAATCTTCACTGTTCTAAATGAAAAGCCTGTCAGAAACAAGAAGCCGCTCTGCGTTTGGGCCCTCACCAGGCCTCCTCTTCCCCATGGCTGCCCTTAGATCACACCAATACTGTTTCCAAGAGATCATGCAAACTGCTTCTGCTTATGTAAGTCAGCATTTCTAGTGTGCTGGATCAATCTCAAAACTTCTGCATCAGCCAAGGGTAAGGGGAGAGGTGCTTTTTACTCCTGATGCCCTGGGAAGAGGAGACCATTAGCATCCAGCCTCGAGAGGTGGATCTCTGACATCGGCAGGATGCATGTGTCTCCTGGCTGTCTATATCAAACCTTCAGCTGGTGCTCTGCAATATGCTTTGCTACAGCTCCAAAAACTAAAGAGCAGGACACTCAATCTGTTCTTCACGCCTCATTAAGAGGAGTAGCTTTACACCAGAATAATCAACAGCTTAGGGCACATTTTAAGCACCTTACAAATCGCTGATGCAGCCTTGGCTTGGCAGCGGTGAAAGTGCATCAGTTTAGGCTGCTCTGAACGCAGGCTACTGCTGCAAGAGGTGCTTTCTCCCTTCCACTTCCTCCCCTCTGCACCAGTTCTGCTGCTCCTGCAACTACACATGGATGAAAAGGTGATCTAGCTCTGCAAAGAGAGAGGAGCATGCAGGAACAGGCACAGCTCCTCCCAGAATATTCAGAGTCATTCAGAATAGCTCTTATCAACAACAGATTTAGTGGCTGTTCAAATCCTGACGGCTATTTGATCCCTCTCTTTTACAACTGACACTTGTGCTCTCAGCAACAGCCCAAGCTACAATAACAGCTTCCTACATCTTAAGACCAGTAATACCACTTATATCTTGCATATTTTAACGCTTTTGAAAAAATAGTCGTTTCCAAATATTCAAGTATCCATGAGTTATTAATTATCCTTGCCTTGAAAACACACAAGATTAACAGGGTTTTACACTGATCTCGTAATTTTCTCACTCAGCACTATAGAATTCAATCTTTTTCAGTGCAAAAAGAAATCTTGTGCATTTCTCAGTTGAGACCAAGATACATCCTCTTCTAAGATGAAATTTCATCGTCAGTGACAGAGAAGTGTCCAGTCCTCCCTAGCTGTGTTTTCCATGTTTCCCCAACCCATTGTGCATTCTGCCTTACAATGCTGCCAAGCGATCGTTAGAACTTCAAGAGGAAGGAGGAACATACAGCCACAAGTGACAGGACCTTCCCTTTTACCAGCAAAATGATCTTAAACCAATTACAAACTACTCTGTACACATTTTTTGCAAAAAGTGAGGAGCGCATTTTTTCTTCTTTAACAGAGAAAAAAAACCCCACCCCTCAGACACTGAAACACACAAAATCCACTTATGGTGACAAAAATAATAAGCAAAGGACTTACAAGCTTTCCATGACCTCTCCTTGGCGCCTTGCATATGGACTCTTCTGAAGCTCTACAATCTCTGTGTGCAGAGCCATGATCTGCTCATCCAGATATCCAATATCTTCAGCCTAATGGCGAAATGTAGGTACAAATCAAACTGAAGGAGGAGAGCAATAAAACAGATAAAGATCCCCAGAATACTTGTTTGCATAATGGGCAGACTCCATGCAGAGTTTAGGAGAAAAAAAAAAAAGCTCTTTGACATGACTGCTGCTACAATAATTGAGGTTACTATCTCCTTAGTGCATGAGATCATCTGGATACAAAACTCTGACCACCACACTGGATGAGAAAAAAGCAGTTTCTTCATAAATTCTGTCTCTGTGCGATGCATGCTGCAGACACACACACACACACACTCTGGTTCTACCTATGTTACAGAAGATTTTTTTTCTCCTACTCTTGGAGAGAGTGTGCTCTCACATTTTACCCTCCCATATGCATTTTGGTCTGATGTTTCTTCGGTATTTCACATCTTCCTCAAAGCTATATAAAAGATACCAATCTTATGCCGAGCCTCTACAGTAAGTTAGGCAAGGGAGCCAATAACATTTCTGAACGTGAAGAGTAGGTACGTGGTGCCAGACAGGCACTGGAGATCCCCAGCACAGTAAGAAAGCACTAGTCATCACTGTGGGTCTTAGTGCCATTGGCTGTGGGCACTGAAAAAGTATTTTGAGATATTCAGCTTTTCCTTTCTGACCTGGGGCTGTAGGACCTGAAAACTGAACATTTTTCCAGAACACAGCTGTTGCTGAAGCTGCCAGAAGCACTTGGTATGAGGCTATATAAATGGGATGTGAACCCTTGACCAGAAAGGGATGTCTGTAGGTTTTGCAGGTAAAGAATGAACCAAGCAAAAGCAGCAGCAAGAAGCCACATAATCAAAGGAAAATCAAGGGGGAAGAAAAATGTGAAGTAAATCCTGTTATCAAAAGAAATGTCTTTGTCTGGAGCACTCACCACACAGCGTAGCTACCTCTTGAATTCCCAGAGGTTAAGCTGCCTGCCACAAAGATTGAGATACCACTGTGTATTGCAGAGTAAAACATTTTCCATTCCTGATAAATGGACAGTGTGACTATGCATGTGGACTGCACGGTTTGAAGACAGAATATAATTCTGATGGTCTGAAAAGTTAACTATTCGTTGAAGTTCCTGTTTTTCTCGGAACAGCCAGTGACAGCTTTAAGTTATTGTACTAGAAGCACCCTCCCTTTCATCTTTCATTCTTGCTTCCAACAGGGAGCAAGATCCCAAAATTAAAGAGCTAAACAGAGTTCAGGTGGGAATCCCAACTCCATCTCCATCATATAAACAAGCAAAATCAAGGTTCCAAAAGCTTTCTGACTTAGAAGACAACTGGTAACGGATCCCAGAACCTGAACTACCCAGTCTATTCCTTTGTAGGGGGGGAAAAACAGGCAATGTAATTTATTATGTTTCTAATGGTTTCTGGGATTTTTATGTATTAATCATTGGGCTCTGTATTACCATAAGAGTAAATACAAAAACTCCCTGCAGGGGAGAGCAAAAATTCAAGGCATCAGCCCAGCAAACCACGTGACAGTCCTGGTCAGCAGAACATGCAGTGTTCTTGGCACTCCTGCAGCTAGCTGCTATCACATAGCAAAAGAATGAGAGCACTTTCTGAGATATTTGAAAGACCTCTGCTCTGAGAAATACATTACAAATGTGCCAATTTTTCCTTGCATTCCTTCTGAAGGCTCCCCTCTCTCAAGCTTTATTCAGTGCATCCAGTAGAAGGGAAGAAGAAACGGCTTTTGACAGTAACTACAATCATCCTAACTGTCCCTAGTTTTCACAGATACAAGTTATTCCTTCCCTATAAAGGTCTGGACAGAACTGTAGGCAGTCATTCTCTGTCAAAAAGACCTCTGTCTCCTCAATGCTTTCAGTGGAGGTACAATTAAAATGCTCATTACCTGAAGACAGACATCAGAATTCTAAGCAGCAGATAAATTTCAACTAGCCTTTCTCACAGAACTCACTCTGAGAAACAGAAAGCCATTATGTCAGCTCAGCTGTCCACAAACCACAAGTGAAAACATTTGATAACTATTAGGACTACTCAGAGTAAGAACTGGCTCTAGCTCTGCTCTAAATTTCTGAAGAATGACTCATATTAAAAAATAATTTGCATATTTACTTGCAGAATACAAGAAGTTTATGTCTGTACTCTTGTACTGCAATTTTGAAATTGCTGCACAGTAAGTGATTGGTATTATTTTTGAAGTGAGTGGTATTATTTTCAGCTTTAGCAATGGAAATTGTTGTGTGCAATAAACCCAGTCAGGAAGACTCGTCTCTAGCAACACCATTTCTTTTAGGCAATAAATAATTTGTCTTCTATAGTCTACTTTCCTGCATAAACAACTGAGTGTAGTGACATTTGTGTTGGTTTTGTTCAAATCACTAGATTTGAACAACCTGGTGACTGGGGACTGTTTCTTTTTTAAGGCACCTGTAATGATATTCTCATTCCCACAGCAGGCAGGATATGAAACACACGGGAGGGACAGAGCAGTGGCCCATATGACACAAGGTTCCTGTCCTGATCTCCTTCACAGAGAGGTAATGAGGCTTCTTTAATATCCCCTACCTGTGCACACTGAGAGGCCTTCTCTTCCATCTCCTTCCATGCTTTGAGCATCTTTTCTGAAGCTTAAGAGAAGAGTTGTTAATTCATAAAAAGATATCAACATAAAAACAAAGCATGACCTCAACTTTACATACATCAGTTGAATTTGAACACAAAGATCATGGTGCTGAATCTCTAAGCAGGAGTCATGGCTCAGAGATCACAGAGACACGAAAAGTTGGAACTTAACAACTCTGTGCTTGACCTTAACTCACATAAAAACCCTTCAGTAGGATTTCACTGTTTGCAATTGCTGGCCTAAATGAATTTGAGTCTTTAAACTCCACCGTTAAATGCAACAACTGTTACTTTTGATTAAACACAAACTGTCCAAAACCAGTTCCCTGAGTCTTTCCATTTTCCATCATCAACCTTCAACCCAGTCATAATTTTTGACTCAAGTTTCAGTTTTCAACCATATATCCAAACTATGCATAAACCTTACTATTCTCCCCTGAACAATATTTGTAAGACCCAGATGTTTCTGTGACATTAAAACTGTAGCTGGTGCTTTTTCACCTTATCTCTCATCCTGACTCATGCTGCATCTATCAAGCACAACTGGACCACTGCCTTAGTGCTGTTCAAAACAGTGTTTCTACAGTCACCAAGCCCGTTTGTTCTGACACGGATGGTACAGTGGAGGGGCCACTAACATCACGTGTAGCAACTCTGCCCTCCACTTTATGCCCTGTAACAACTCCAAATGAATCAGATTCTGAATGAATAAATAGTAAACACTTATGTCACCAGTACTATTAACACTACAATTTTCTTAGTTTGGTGTGGTCAGTGGGGAGCAGCTGAATGCCTGTTTCACTGTCACTGAAGGACTCCAAAACCACTTTATTCTTTTACTCTCCTGCCTTTGCTTCTGCCAAACTATTCTCCTACACCTGCCCCAGCTATCAATAAAACATACCCATAAAGATGCTAAGGAACACAATGGCAGCTCCTGCATTCATTATTTTTAAGCTAGTTCTTTCTTACCCACAGTCCTTTATAGTCAGTCTGATCAGGCTTTGTAGGATCAGACAAGACACTCTGGCAAGTATCACACCATACGTACATATGCCATAAGCCATCTGGTCACTGTATCTGTCGAGGTCAAGGCGAATGCTTTGATGAAAGAATTCCAGCTTTGCTTTCAGTTGCTGAGATGCTGACACCATATTGTTTTTCATTTTGATTAGGTTGGCATTATACCGAAGAAGGCTGAGCCTAATAAACGAAACAAGAACAGCACGTTAGTTGAAAACTGTATCTGGACTTATGCGGCCAGTTCTGTCACATTACCTAAAGACATAGCTAGCAAAATATTTTGTAAGAAGCTTGGAATAGGGAGTCTCAGTGGGATGACACCCTCCCATCTCTCATCCTCAGAAGCTGCAGGTCCTCAGCAAGAAAAAAAAATGAAAGTCCTTCCTCATTTCCCAGGTTTTTTGTCAAGCTCAATTAAACGGTAACAGAATCACAGAATCATCTAGGTTGGAAAAGACTATAAAGATCATATAGTCCAACCATTCTTTGCAACATAGAGTGTTTCTTAGCATTTCTGGGGTCCTGTAAGTGCATGTTGCCCCTGGTGAATGCTGGCACCTTTTCTATCACTTGAGATGTATGACACTGCCCATTCTGTGATACAATCACAGGACAAAACCCTAAAAATATAACAAAGTTCCACTCATTCTGCCACTTGTGCAATGACTATCCTGGGCTGCATTAGGAAGAATGCTGCCAGCAGACTGAGGAAAATGATACTCTCCCTCTATTCAGTGCTGGTGGGGCTATACCCAGGTCCAGTTCTGGGCTCCCCAGTACACCAGAGACATACTGGAAAGAGGCCAATGAAGGGCTATGAAGATAATTAAGGAACTGGAGCATCTCTCCTATGAGGTAAGGCTGAGAGAGCTGGGACTGTTCAGCCTGGAGAAGGCTGAGTGGGGATCAAAATGAAGATACCCGAGGGGAGCATTGAAGAGAGAACCAAGTCAGGCTCTTTTCAGTGATGCCCTGTGACAGGACCAGAGGCAATGGGCAAAGAACTGAAACACAGGATGTTTCCTCTGAACATCAGGGAACTGTTTTTTACTGTGAGGGTGACCGAACACCGCAACAGATTGCCCAGAGAGGTCGTGGAGTCTGCATCCTTGGAGATATTTAAAAGCCATCTGGCAACGGTACTGGGTAACCAGCTCTAGGTGATCCTGCTTGGTCAGAGGAGTTGGACTGGATCTCCAGAGGTCCCTGCAAACATCAGCCATTCCCTAAGTTTGTGACTACATTCAACACTAAAATTTTTTTTTGGTTATCATCAATGTCAGGCACTACGCAGTAGAATTTCTAGAGTGGAGTAAGCTCCGAACCCAAATATGTTTTATCATGTAAAAGTATAGAGCAGCAGAGGCAAGGGAGACTTTGGGTAACCAAAACTCCTAGAGGTGGACGTTTCCATGCAAACAGTCACTGTATTTGCATAACAATTAATCTTCTGACTGAGGGATAACAACTTACATGGCAGCTCTCTGGCCCTGGAAAAGCCTGCTATAATCTTCTTTTAGTCCAATGACATAGTGAACTGCTTCTGCCCACACCTTGCGCAGCTGAGGAATTGGCAGTTGGATTTTACTATCCTGTACTGAATGCAAGAAAACCACAATTGTACATAAATGAAAGGACAACTCTAGAAAAGAACTTCCAGTTTACAACACTCCCAATTCCTGCTTCAGGTGCTTAAACTAAGGGATTGAGCCACATAAGATCTACTCAATTTTTACATGATGATGCCTAAGCATGTGTAAGCTTTTCATGTAATGGCTCCCCAGGTACTTGCCAGTCTGCTGCTGGCCAGGCAACAGAGCTCATGTTTGAACTCAGAGCTACAAGAGCAGAGATTTGTTTGAGAGCTTTAGTCCATTGGCACTAGCAGACTTGGGGCACACTGCATAAAACATGGCACAAGGCAGGTGGTTGGTTTTATCAAAAAACGCTATCTAAAGCACTCTTCCAAACTAAAATGGAGCAAATAAATTTGCTTTGCAATCAATTGATATGTCACTGTCCTGATGTGTTTTCACCTGAAAACGTCTTCAATTATTTTGTACATTTCCTCCCAAATTTCTGATGTAGATATTTAAAGGGAAAAGATGCAGGACTTATATGTGTGTTCCCCTTTAGAGACAGGGAACTTTGGGATACCAAATAAACACATTGCAAAAAGCCTTAGCTCCAAAAGATTCAGCACAATGATGCCATGCAATGAGATTCACCAGAATAAAATAGCCCAGAACACAGAAAAAAACCAATCAGAATAAACCTGAGTGACAGTAAAAGGAGACCGGGAAAACCAACACTTCTGCAGAGCTAGGCCGAAGAAAATTAAGCTACTTAGCACTAACTGTATGTCACAAGGCATTTCCTTTACATCCAGTATCCCAGTAGATGTCTCCTGTCCCCTGACACTATCTTCTCTTTCACAGAGGTATACAAGGTCCTTCCTACAGGTATACTGGGTGTATATATACCTTCACAGAGGTCTATTAGGTCCTGCAGGTGACTGCTGTCATTTCAGGAGACATATAAGGGAAGCTGTAAGCAGAGCAGCAGCTTTCAAGCATTGTCCAAAAGTACACTGATGATGCCAGGGCCAGGCAGTAGCACCAGAACTAAGAGGGACCAGCTGGAGCAGATCCCATTAGTATCCATTCAGCAATACATAAGCTCTATTCCTAACTCAGGAGGGGACCAGACCTTCTCAGACACTTGGCTCTGCTTGGCGAGACCAGAAGTAGGATCAGTGCTATGGGGTCACAGACACATTATCACTAGAGCTGAAAACTGTTGGGAAGACAGTACAAGAGGTTTTGAACCCCTGCCAAGCATCTCTGAAGACCAGCCCTAACTCATAACTTCCAGAGGAACGTTGACAGTTGTGCAGCTAGTGCAACATGGCCAAACACACCATCTCAGCTCTGTGATCAGAGCAAGGTGAATTTCCTCATACAAGGCCTGAAGAATCAGCAGCACAGAATGAGGGACCCATTCTTTCACTGAGGTGAGACACAAGAGATGGATTTCAGCTGAAATGCAACCATCACAGACAGTACAGGGCACAAAGTAATCTGTATCCTCAGGATGCTGCTATGAGGTTCAGAAGCAAAATCTAGGAGAGCTGTAGGAGGGCAACTGCTCATGAATATCCAAAGCACCCAATCTCAGTGGACAGGACTGCAAGGAGCTGAAACCTATTTGTACCTGTGATTGGGAGAAGGGATACATGCACAACTTCTACAGATGCTAAACCCCAAGATAAGAAGGTCCTTGACCCTTGGTACCATCAAAGGATATCTATTTGGGCTGTCACTCAAGTTCTGCAATCACGTCTCAGCAAGATGTCACTGCAACACACTGGGGGTGTAAAGGGACAAGACCCCCTAGCAGAGCAGAAAGCTGTGCAAATGAAATCACAGCACCCAAGTCAGAATCTTCTTTCGAGGATGTGCTGTGCAGTCACAACCAAAGTTTCCCTCTCTAGGCTACAAGCTTAGGTTGCACGTATTACCTCCCAAGCCTTCCTTCACACTATGGCTCTGTTTAAGTGGGGCAATGCTTAGGTTTAAGTGTTTAGGTGGGGTAAATGCTGTTCAGTTAGTTTAATAAAAGGGCAAAAACCTTAAATGAATTCTTAACTTGCTCTACAGGAAAGTTCCCAAAGGGCAGGCAATAAATTATCTGAACTACTACATTTACAAAATGTGGAGGTACAGTAGCGTAGATGAAACTTTGTTAGGCTGCGCCAGGTTCTTAAATGATCCTTTTTGAATTAGACAGTACCCTTCAAGATACACAGAGATTTGGAAGGCAAATCTACTCTCATATTACATGAGAATCAGCACTTTCAGTTCCCAGCTGTCTTCCAGCATACTTACCAATGTAATTTACACAGTCAGACAGACTCCGAGAAGCAAAGGGTCCATCATAGACAGTTTTGCTTTTATCAAACAAATAGACCATGTAACTATCCCAGCCTCTCTGGTGAGATAAGAGAACAGAACATAAACAAGAGATATCCCAAGCACAGCTCCTACTAACCCAGAAGGTCCTGATTATATCATGAACTAATTATTGTGGACAGACACTCTTCTTATCAGGTGCCTTAAAAAAAACCTGATTTTGATAGATCCCATGGAAACATAGGACCCTTTGCTAGCATGTTACTTTATTTAAATATTTAGACAGAGTATATCTATAGAAATCTGTGTACATTACTCAACAAAGGAAATAATGCTAGTTACTACACTTGTGGAGTAACTTCAGAGTTACTACAATTACAGAGCGAACTGTCTCCAGTGGGATAAGATTAAGGCAATTTATCTTTCCTAAGATTTTAAATTCCCTGATACTGAAAGACAGCAAACGAACAGAATCATTCTTACTACGCCATCAATAACACACTGAGAAGCAGGTTTCCGAGGGTCCAGGCAAATCCCTGTTTCCAGCAGCAGTTCCTGATTTCCAGTACTTATTCCAGTTTCAAACTCAATCCGAATCTGAAGGGAATGAAGGCTTTCCTCGGGATGCAAGAGAAATGAAACAATCTTGGCAGAGGTCATATTTAGGATGTGTACTATCTGTAAAAAAAGTACAAGTTGATGACAAGTCACTGGCTGTCAAAAACAAAGGACACAAAGGCCCAGGAGGGAGTATGTAGCAATTAGCATGTTAGAGCATCATGTGAGTTTTAATGACTACAGTAATCAAGTTCAGGAGTAAAGGCCCCACATAATAGATTCAAAGCTTGGGCCTGTAACTTTTAACTTAATGTCAGAGAAAATTACAATTCACACACACTAATAGCCTTTGGAAGCCATACTGCAGCTTAAATAAATCAGAGGAACAGTCACAAGGCCATCCTGAGCCTTGCTGTCTCCTGATGCTGGCCAGTACTGCTCCCAAGAGAGGGAGTCCCATTTCCTTTAATCTTTCCATACAAAAAAGCTGTTACATACCAGTGCTCATCTTCTCACAGCTCTCATGGCCCTCGCTATAGTTCTAATATATCTGGGCAGAGACTGTAGGACCCAAAACACACCATAATATACAGATTTTGACAAGTCCCAATTACAGGCATAATTTCTTGTGTTTCAGGCCTTAATTCCTTTGGAATCCTCCAGATCAGACAAAATTACCCTCTGGCTTCTATGCATGCTTGCCTCAGCTAATCTTACTCCAGCAAAGCTCCAAAAATTACTTGAAGGGGAAGAGTCAGGTAAACATAGTTTCTATTCTATTACTATTGTACATGGACGTGGAGGTCACAGCATCAGTACTGGAGTTCAGGAAAACTCTTACCAGCAAATATTAAACCATTATTTGATCTTCTACTCCAAGTGTAAAATAGAGATTAATATTGCTGGTGATATTTTGCCTTCAGATATGTACTGGACATGCTGTAGACACTCACTTCCTGATATCAAGAAAAACATTCCTCATGATCCTGCAGCTGGATGTCAGGATTATAGCTTTGCTCCACTGAACACACCTTCTGTCCTCTGAGATGCTTTCAGTAGGCCTTTAAACACAGTAACAATCCTACTCACCTTCAAATTCAGTATGTGATCCATTATTAGGAAACACTTTGGACGACTGGTCTCGTGATCTAAACCTCCACCTCTCTGTTGTGGATCCCAGTTCAGCATCAGTTGCAACCAGTTTTCCATTGGTTCTACAATTAAACTAAACCAGAAGGGCTGTAAGAAAGAGAACGTAGACACTCTACAACACTCAGACCACTCAGGAAACCAGGGTCTCACAACAGCAGTAAGGTTATAACTCTTTGGTTAGAGACCATATCTGTGCAACACATGCTGAACAGGTGTGAAGAACACCTGATTTCACTGCAGTTGCTCATTCTGACAGAGGGGGAAAGCCTGAAAAGGGAGGGAAGCACACACAGATTGAGCACCTCCGCTGTAACAAGAGCCTTGGCTGACCTCAGAAGCACACGCCCATCTGGTATACCCTGCATTACACTACTTCTGACCCATGTTCATTGAGTCAAAAGTATCTCAACACATCAGTAAGGTGTGTTAAAATGGATGAGTTATTTTTTTGTTCTTTTTCTTTCAAAAACTATCTGCAATACACAAAGTCAAAGAGTTTTCAAAGCCTTGTCTGCACAATAACCATCCTCATAATGCAGAGCCACCTGGAAAGTTCTGCATGTTTATCCACACTGGAAGTATGTTAAGTTTATTGTGAAGAATGTCTTTAAAGACAACACACAGTGCAAAAAGCTCAAAACACTAGCAGAAAGCCACTTACTTCATTCTCAACTCCAGTACTTTTCCTAGAAATCTGCCAGTTGCAATGAGTTGTCCTGCACTGCTGGGCACAGTTGAAGGCACAAGTGCTAGGTAAGTGTCAGATGATCAGTCTGACCTCTGACTTGGTACAAGGCCAATTAATTCAGGTTGAAGGCCCCCCCCCCGGAGATCTCTGGTCTGAACCCTAGCCCAGAGCCAGGTCAATGTTGCAGCTACAGCATGCTTCTCAGGGCTGTGTCCAAGTGAGTCTGGGCAGCCCCCACAGGTGAAGATCCCCCACTGCCCAGGGCCCTGTCCCAAGAATGCATCACTAGCACAGAGAAACCTTTTTCCTGCGCCCAAATTTCACTTCCCCTGTTGTAACTTGTGCTGTTGCAGTTGGTCATTTTGATTTGCCCCTCTGAGAAGAGCCTACATCTGTTGTCTCTGTAACACCCCAGTAGACAGACGATGAAAAAATTACATTTCCCTTTGCCTTCTCTTTGCCAGACTGAATCAGCCCATTTTCATGGGCCTTTCCTTGTATGCTCTATTCAACAGGCTCTGGCCATCTTTGTGGCCTCTGCTTGACTTGTAGCAGCCTTCCCAACAGAAGTACTAGAAAATTCTGCTTTCATGAAGCAGCTCATTCAAGTACTTAGTTTGGGAGATTAAATACCATCAAGTTATTGGGTAGATGTTACTCCTTGGCCTTGTAATAATGGGTGGAAAGCAGTCACAAGAGTTCACACTGCAACCATCCCACAAACTGCAGGGATGAACTGCTGCTGGAGAGCCCAAAGCATCAAAAAAGAGCCATGTGGCTATAGACTATTCCTTAACAGCAAATGATAGCTTACCAAGAGATGGAAGCACTCTTTTGGAGAAAGAAGGAGGACCCCTCAGTGCTTGGGATAAAGGAGGAGCCCTCAGTTTAAAACAAGCCAAAAATTATCACATGTAGCCACAAGGACACACTTACCCACAAAGGCTGTGAGGCTGTGGCAAATGAGTACTAAAGCGAACCTCCCCATTCATCTCTTCAGAAGCAAAGATGTGCTTTGGATCCTTCTTCTTGATTTTTTCATGCCTAGAAAATAAAAACCCTCTGTGGATATACTGATGAGGTTACTTTTGTAAAAGGCCAATTGAATATGACAGCAATAAAAATCGCCAGTGTCTAGTAGCTTTAGAAACCAAGCTCTTCTCTTTTGGGACAAAGATGTAATTTCCAAACAATCCACCCAGAGGATGTCCAAGTGGAAGAAGGGAGCCCTTGCAATTAACACTCTCTCTGAAAACATTTTTGCACCTGCTTGCAAGGATGTCTGGAGAGCACCAAACAAGAGGGTCAACAAGTAACAATTCACTGACTACAGAGCAAGCCTGCTCAACAGATTTAGCCTCTGCACTGTAATGAGACAGGTATAAGTCATCTGGCAAAAACACTGTTCTTACCTTGATCCAAGTGAAACATCTAATAAGTGTTAGAAACACAGCCTGCCACTGGATCCAGTACCGGGGAAAGAATCACCAGCAACTCTGCCTCAGTTTCCTCACTGTGGCTCACTTCAGCAGTTGGCTGAACCCTGCCTAGAGGTCAGCTGCTCCCGGAGCAGCAGGATTGCCTGGGCAAATCAACAGTCAGTCAGCTGTGAGGCAGCTGAATGTTCCTTGCTCCTGGAGGCTGCTAGCCCACTCTCTCTGTCAGCCTCAACTGGAACTGAAGCTACATGAGACGCCTGCACTGTTCTCTTCCTCCTTCTATGGACAGGGAAGAGCTGTTTCTAAACTTATTTAATTCATTGGTTTTCTACTACTTGCATTAGGAAATCAAGTTCTACATGTTGGAAAATAGGCAACAAATATTGGACTGTTAAAATAATAAACCCCCAAGAATTAGCAGTTAAAAAGGAAACTATTACCACATACTAGTTTTATGATAACACATAATAAATTAAGCTAACACTTGCATTAAAACCCAAATTTACTTTTCTTGCCCATTATTATTTCAATGCTAACAGAAAAGCAAGTTTCATATTTTTTCTGTTGCAGAACTACCCTTTTACCAAGCTTACACACACTCCTGGTATTACAAGGTAAGTAGTGGAAATATAAAAATTTATCTTCTAGCCCTTAAAGAGCACGCAGAAACCTCCATATGCAGGTTAAAGTCTTTCAGGTGTCCCTTTTGTAAAGTTACTTACAATCATGTAACTATGTGTTTACTACATAAAACAAGCTCTTGCTGTGTGTTGTTCATTGCAAACAGTAAGTAACCTCACAGCCTAGGTGAATAAAGTACTGTACCACTCCTCCCCATTACATTTTTCTGACACTGATACAGAGACCGGTTTATAATTATATTTTTTCATTCAAATTTAACTTGGGAAGGAATTAATTCTGACCAGAAACTACCACACAATGTAATAAGCACATACTACAGTAAGTAAAAATAGCAAGTCAAACCATTATCAATACTACTAAAGTTTCAACGGCTTCTGTGAAGGTTAGCAGATCACCAGCCTCAGCACTCAAAAATAAATTTATCATTCTGGTTCATGCTGTCACCTCACCACATGCAGCAGCTGTCATTCTTATTGCATGGCCTCACCCCTTGCAGAATTTGTGTCTTACCAGGTAAATGGCTGTAGATTATGTAAGAAAGGTCTAAATCCCGCAATGCATTCAAACACCATTGTTCCAAAGCTCCAGTAATCAACAGTAACTGAGTAGGATTTATTCTCAAAGAGTTCTGGAGCCTATAAAGGATCATAAAAAGACACTTTGAAAGTGGTATTTAAGGTCATCTATCTTCTGACGTTTCTGCGGAGACAAAGCTGCATCTAGACGTGGCCCACAGTTCCAGAGAGGTACAGGGACCCTGATGTGGCCCTGCTCAGGCCTCCTGGTGGGTCAGGCCTGAAGCCCCCAGCCCACGAGGAGATGGCAGGGACCTCGGCTTGTGGGGTCTGGCTGCAGTGGGGCTGGCGGGGGGTGAGGGCTAAGAGAAGCCCCTGACTGGGGCATAGAAAGGGATGGATGGGGTCAAACTCATCTTGGAAGTGACAGGTGATACAGTGAGAGGCAAAGGCCTCACATCCTCATCTGGGAGGTTCAGGTCAGACACGAGGAAACACTTTCTCCCCTGGGGAGGGAACACCCTCGCGACAGGTCTCCAGGAAGGTGCACGATCTCCATTTTTGGAGGTTTCAGGGCTTGGCTGGGCCAAGCCATGGCTGCCCTGACCTAGTGCTGGTGACAGTCCTGCTGCAAGCAGGAGGCTGCAAGAGGGACCTCTGCAGGTTCCCTCTGGCACACACTTCTGTAATTCTATAACATGTGGCAATACCACACCACTTGTATACATAACAAACAAACAAAAAAAAGTCTTACCAAATATTGTAATGTTCCAACAAATGAAGTGCATAAACTTCCTTGATCCAGATCTTTTGCATATCCCAGGTCTATTATTTTGTGAACAATCTGTAGACAGTTTTAACTAGTTCATCAGAAGAGCAAATTCAAACAACAAAACCCACCAAACAACCCAAAATCTGTGCAGTGACATTCACAGCATACACTCAAGAAGCCAGAAGCCAGAATGGAAATGCTGGAGAAAGTCAGTGGCGAATCTTTGACCTGTGACGCGATGTTAAGGCTTGCTGTTTCACCATGTAAGCTGGCGTTCACCTATCTCAACTGAGACTCAACTTTTAAAAAAGCAGCTTGACACTTACAGCTTGGCCAAACACAGCTTTGTAAACAAAAAACTCACTTCCCAGATAAAGAGTAACAATAGAGAAAACAGTTTTCACTAAGAAATCCATTAGGCTGACTCTCTGAACTAGCTCGATGTAACATGCAGCCCTCAAAGCCACAAACACAGGGATACGCTACAGTCTCATATCACTCACTCTGTTGCAGGCAGGGTTCTTGAACAGAAGCAAAAGTTGCTTGTTTTTAATGACAAGGATTTAAGAATAAGCAAAATAGGATTCGTGGCTTCAAGATGTCAAACTTCTAGTAAATTCACAGTTTTCAGTCCAGCTCAATGCAACAAACTACTTGTTCTCTTTTATTCCTCTCAGGTAAGACACAGCTGCTGACAACTTTCAGAAATGACAGTGGAAACACCACTGACAGCAGCCACCTGACTTACCTTTCCACCTTCATCCTGAAGAACAATATTTTCAGGCTTTAAATCTCTGTGAATAATCCTGTTTTCATGCAAATACTGGACACCAGACCCTGAAAGACACATTTGATTTAACAGAAAATAAACTCAGATTGATACACCTGATAAAAATATCCATCTAATATCCATGACTTTGGGGTTGACATTCATAAATTTTCATCTTAAAACACCATTAAGAACTACTACTTAAAAGATTCATCAGATTTATGCTAGGACTGAACTAGCTCTGCTCTTCTGCTCTGAAGAAGTGGAGGTTGCTACAAAGTTCAGACCTCATGGCATAACCACAGGGCACATGTCTTGCCTGTAATGCAAGTGAAGGCAGCTGAATTTTTCCTCAAACTGTAGAGTTACAAAATGAATATGACAATCATGCAGACAAGCAAAACAGGTCTCCAAAACAAGCAGGCAGCTTGAAACAGCTCTGCATGTCCTCTAGCCTAAGATCTTGGCAAATTAGCACAAGGCAGCAAAAAGACCTACTGGTGTCTGTGAGCACATTATGCAAAATGCTGATGAAAGCAAGCACTGAAATTGATTAAGCAAATGAAACAAGCTGAGTTTCTCTTTGACCTAAAAACTACTGCCAAATAGTGGCTAACAGAGCTTGTAGTAAACTTCCATCACTGCCAAAGCACCACAACACAAATCACTCCATCAGGGAAGGGACCGTCCAGCTGTGATGAAGCAGAAGCACAGATGGAGCTAAAAACTGACGCCTGGGCAGCCTCTGGTTAATGCTGCATGGAGCAGCTGACCAAGGTGTAAACATCAATGCCCTGGTCAGTATGAGCAATCCTGAACTTAAGGGCTCAAGGCTTCCCCTCCGCTGGCAGGGGACTGGTGTGCTCCAAGTACCACCACTTCTGTCACACTCACTGCTAAAAATGAAATTCCATGACTGCTTTAAGCCAGCCTACGTAGGGGCTGTCCCCAGGAGAAGCACAGGTTCCCAAACTCTTCCTTTCCATATGCAGTTTCCATGGCAGCACAAGCATTTATGGTACCACGTGATCAACTTGTTCCTGGGATCAATACAGCTGGAAACTACTAAGAAAAAAATAATCGGGTTTTAGCCAGGCTGGCTTCCAGAACCTGCTCCTCACCTGGGTACAAGAGTGGCTGCTATAGGGGAAGGAGTGGGAGCATGTGCCCAAGAAAGGCAAAGAGCAGGACTTTGCCTTATAGCAACAGTCCACACGAACTGCCTTGAGGAGACTGTGGAACCACTAACAAAAAAGAAACAAGAGAAACCCTGCCTGCGGGAAGGGGAAAATTCACTAGCAGTCCATCTGCAAAACAACACCAGCCACTAAATAAAAGATTATCAAGGCAGTGTCTGCCACAGGACACAGCCACAGACAAAACGGAAAAAGATGACCTTCAAAATTTGAGTAGTCATTTGAGTCATGATTTTTCAGTCTTCATCAGGAGATGTGCAAATAGAAATACACATGAAAGGCCCAAGGCAGGTATTGTATTTTCTCATCTCCATCATGGGGTATTTTGAATTTTCCTGTGCAAAAGATACTCCAGCTGCACATCATGTAAAGTCTACTGACCAGCTGTGACTGTAAATTCATTATGGGATTATTTTAAGAGAACTATTCAACCAACAGGCCTCGATCACAGTTCAAACACTCCCATCAGGGAGAAATTCCCCAACCTTCACTGATTTACCACTTATTTATATGTTTAACAGCTTCTGACTTGCCGTTCTTCTCCACTGCATTTTCAAATCTTTGCCAAAGATATGCCAGAGACACTCAACTTATTATGAACACAACAGACCCCATTCTACAGGGGGAAGGGGAACAAGGATGAAGGAATGCAGTTGCACTTGATTTTGGGAACTGCAACACTCTGAACACTGAAAGGAGAGAAGCCCAGACCAATACATCCAAAATATCTTCTCATACCAAAACTCATACCATTCCTGTATGTAGAGATGGGTTATCTGTAAGAGAACTGGAAAACCAAGCTCTACTGAGAAGCTCTCCTGGAAAGCCTACTTGCTGTAGAAACCATCTCCAACTCACGCTCCCATGGTGCAACAGAAGGCTGGTGCCCCTTGCCATGCTGCTCACCAAGTACAGTTTAGTCCCACCTATCACCTTTGCGCTGGTGCCTTCTGTAGTCACAGGCTGTTCTCAGACCCTCCTCAGCCTCCCTGCAGTCAGACCCAACAACCCCATCAGATGCTCCAGGCCCTGGGCAGCCTTTGCAGCACCCTGCCAGTATCTCCACATCCCTCTGGAACGTGGGGCCAGATGTGGACAACTGTATTGAGAGGTACCCTCTCCAGTGCTGAGCAGAGGAGACCGTGATCTCCATCACTGTGTCAGCCACAACTCTAATGCAGACCAACAGAACTGCTCTTCCAAAATGAGAAGCTTCGCAACATTCAGGCACATTTATATGTTGGGATCCCCTACCTAATTAACCCTCAGTTGAGGGCACATCATTAGCCAGAAGATTGCTGGACTAGCCATGGCATAGTTGGCTTCCTCTTCTGCTATGCTCTTACACACCTTGCTCTCAGCTCCACTCCAGTTTATTATCTCCTCTGTACTGTCACCCTGTCACAAAGTTTCCCTCCTATTGAGGAAACCCTACAGATAGAAGCCATAGGGTGACTTTGGTACTTTCACATTGGATCTTGCTTTTTGGTTTGTAGAAATTACATTCCTTCAAGTGACAAGCAGTTTGGCATCTCCAGAGCCATGAACAGAAACAGGATTTAAACAGAAAACTGTGTCCCTAACAAAACAAAGTATTAAGGTCATAGTTACCTACAACTGACCACTACACAGCTTTTCCAATCCCGTTCCACAGACACATAATTAGTGCAAGCTTCCTGTCTCTGTGATCAGCAGGAATATCAAGTTATTGCTCTGGAATAGAAACCTGATTGGTTTTAACACACCTGGCCTCACTAGTCCCCTTTTCCAGAAGAGCTGAAAAAGCAAAATGCCATTACACATAATAAAAAAAACCCAAACCAAACCAAACCATGAGAAAGGCATTAGACTACATACCAATGTCACTAAGCAGAGAAAGTATTTGACTTTCCTTAAGTCCGCAGCAGTTTTCCGGTTTGTTTAGCAACTACAAGACAGGAAAAGAAGTTTAGACCCACACTGCAACAGCTAACAGTCAAGAACAACATCTTCCATCCCCTGCTGACAAAACACAGAAACCAGCACAGCTCAAATATAACACCAGCCACCCACCTCATGGTCAGGCACCTTAAAATCAGCAAAGAGCACATTCTCTGTTAACGCTGTTACTGCCACAGGCTGCTCCACTTCACACAAGTCACCTTCTTCAGCTCACAGCACCCGATCGTGGGCTAGCTCTGCCCTGGGACACGGTCTCCTTCTTGACTGCCCTCCCACAAGGAAAAGCTGCTTGACACTTCAGCACACTGGCTAGGTTGCCCAAATAGTTAATCCTGAGCTAAAAAGCAGATCACTGGCCTGTGGACGACCGGAGTGTCCACAGCATGGACCATGACCTGAACTCTCAATCCTGCCTCCACTCTAAAGCTCTTCTTCATCTCTCTGCTCCCTTGCTCTGAATTTTTCTCCTCTTGCGAAAGGTAGGTAGAAGCACTGGAGGACCCCCCCCTTCTAATCGCTGTCTTAATGATCTGTCAAGAATTAGCTTCAGCAATTCCCTGCATACGTCCTGGGTCAATCAACATGTGATCTGATTTTTACAACACTGAAGGTGTTTATAGATGACTGAGGTACACCTCTGTACTGCAGCCAGCCCTCTTCATGTTTTTGCCTGACTCACACACTTCAGGTACAACCAGCAGTCAAACCTCTACGGGGGAGAAGCCAAACTTCAACATCTCACTCCTTAAGCTCTGGGTAGATGTGGTGAACAACAAAGGAGGAGACAGGCAAAGTCAGAAATCAAGCTCCAAGCCCATACTACCCTGAAAGCACAAGCGTAAAAAATGAGTGTGGTCCACAGACAGAAGCAGATGCTTTTCCAAACTTCATGGAAAATTGCAGATGTGTAATGAGAAATTATTAAACACAAATGATGTCAAGCGAGTGCAAGAGAAAGATTTAAAGAGCAGGATCAGAAATAAAAAAACCCTGGAACATTTTTTTTCTTTTAAGGAACAAAGCATTACATGTGATCAAATTAAATTAATTGTCCCAGCATCTATGCAACATCTAAGGATTCATTAGAAATTAAATGATCACATACTGCATTGCAAGCAGTGCTAATGTAATCCCAAATTTCTTTGCCAGGGTCTCCAATTTATCTTCAACCACTCTCTAAACTACTACTGCTGCAAAGATACAACACCCAAGCATCACCAAGAACATGGTCAGCTACACGTGTCTGCAACATCTAAATGCTATTTTTTTATATCCCCACTTCCTTTCATTGCCAATCTTGTCTTTTACTATTGTCCCTACTGCTTTAAACAACTCAAAAACATAACATGAGGCTTAGTAAGTTACTGATACACTAGTTACTACTGCAGGTATGCGGTTACTGCATTCAACATCCGCTCACCTTCCTCCAGTGCTATTTAACACCAGTAACAAAAAAACCCAACAAAACAATCACCAGAAAAGTGAGCTTCCTGATCACTTACATGAGTGATTTCAAAGCAAACCTTAAATCAACAGGGATTTGCCTCTTCACCCCTATACAAATGGCTACTTCCTGAATCCAGCTGCAATGGGAAAGGAGCATGAACTCTATAAGGCCATGGAGCTGCTGCCTGGGGAAGTACTGAAAGGTTCCTTTACTCTGGGGTATTGTTGCTTTGCAGAAGGGCAGTTTCCAGTTCATCAGGAAAGTCTCTGAAGCCCTGGAGGCCCCAGTACAGTACTAACGGGATCCTTCCCTGTGCTACAGGAAGTTGTACTGACGCTAAAACAGTTCTGTGAAAAGACAGCCTGCATTGCTCTCTGTCCTCTGGTTTGAAAAACACAAGTCTCATTTCCAATATGTGTGGTTTTTTTCCCACTTTACTTCCTCACACCTGTACTTACAAAGAAAAGTGCCACAGGACATACATGGTTTCACAGACAATCACAGTTACAAAAACAGCATCACCAGCACTTCATTTTGCTACATATTGCAAAGGAAAGCAGACATTACCTTCCGGAGGTCGCCCCCTGAACAATATTCCATTGCCAGAAGAGGAACGTCATTAACCAGAAAGTTCATCTCCTCAGGAACTTCACAGGCTCGTACTACATTGGGATGGTTCAGCCTAAGCACATGGAAAGCTGGGTGAAAACTCTCACTCCTCTTTTGGAAGAATGAGACAGATGGTTAATCAACCATATTTTATGTTTCAGGTACAACTTCTGTTCCCTGAACATGTACTTGCTGAGAAGTACACTCTTCAGTTGGTACCTACCAGTATCCAAATGCATAAACCCCATGCCCTGGGAATACACAAACCAGTGATGAGCGTAAATGCTGTCTCAAAGTCAAGGTACAGGACATTGATGATAGAGATCTAGGCTCAAATTCTGGATTCCTGCACATTCCTGGCAAAGTCATTACACATGTCTGTTTCTGTATGTGAGGTCAGCTTCTCACCGGCCCAAGGGTTCCCAGGAGGAATCCTTTAATACTTGTGCAACTGTACTAACTAGAGATGTGGAAGCAGGCAGGTGAAATCCACATACATGGGGAAAGACTCATTTCTGTAACTGAATTCGAACAGCTGCTTCCTGATTGTCTCTAATCTAAATTACTCTTGGGAATAAATGACACATCCAGCAGGAAATGAAGACACATCACTTTTGCATACACCTTCCAAAGCCTCTGGAAGCCACCACAAGATCAGCTGTGCAGCTCAGTGCTTCTATTCCAAAAATGAGTATAGTGAAAACACTAACGAGAGTGATCACCAAGCCCAGACTTAAAAACTCAGGTTGCCTGCAAGGGGTTTCCTCCAACGTCAGTGCATACAGTGAGCAGGTAAGGGTGACAAAGAGGCAGAGTAGGAGCTCAGTGTGCAGCAGAGGCCCTGCTGGCCTTGGTGAAGACAACTCAGAGCAAAACTGAGTGGCATCCCTGCTCCCACCAGTATTCCATGCTCCAGGATCTCTCTCAGAAGGGAGGAGGAATTCTCAGAATGAGGGAACAACTGTACGAGACCGTGACACGCAGAGCTACTGCTCACATCCATGAGGACAAACCTGGCCAGCTCTGGTTCACAGGTACCTCAGAGTGACATGGTGGAGAAAATGATGGTCGGCAGCATAGAATATGTAGTTTCTCACAAGAAAGTACTAGGACACATTACTCTGTACATCCAGGAGTGAGAGGAAAAAAGCAAGTCCTAGGACCCTGGTCGCTAGATCAAAGATAAACGCGCTGAACTGTATGGGAACATGGGGGTGTTCTCACATCACCACATTAAAACCCGAAGCGCTGCACAGTGCGCGCCTGGAAGAATTTACGATGTACAAACTGTCCAGGCAACACAAGAGTGCAGGGGGTCCCAAGTCAGGACATGGGCAGAAGCGCCTGTACACCTTGGGATGGCAGGTACACCAGCGCGGAGCTGCCGGGTGACAGACTCCCACCCAGCTGGTTTAGGGGCCGGGGCCTGCTGCCCCCCTGCCCCAGTCGGCTCAGGGCCGAGGGCCCGGTAGCGCCCACGCTCCGCGGTTCCCTCTGCCCGGCTGCCTCGGGGCCGCTGGGCCCCGACTGCCCGGGCCGTGCCGACCCATCCGCACTCACTTCTTCATGATGTCGATCTCGTGGCACCACCGGTCCTTGTTCTTGACGCTGAGCTCCAGCCGGCAGGACTTGATGGCCACCCGGGCGCCCGAGTCCTGCGGGACACAGCGCCGTCAGCCGCCCCGGCCCGCCCGGCCCTCCCCGCCGCC